TCAAGTTGAAGACAAATTTTCTAGATTGATCCGGAGTGACATTTCAAATACGCTTCAAATTATTTTCGAAGTCATAGCTGCTCACAAGAAGAATACTTTCTGAAAAATGTTATGATTTTTATTTTAAATTTTCAGATAAATACAGGCAAGCAGGTACTCGTGATTAGTCAAGAATGTATTTATTTACATGGTGTACCGTAAACAGAGTTCTTATTTGAATAAAAATAAAGTCAATGTTTTCATGCAAGGTAAAATATATCTGAAAAACATCAGCTAAAAATCGGTGTCTTTCGCGTGAATGGATAGAATAAAATTTAGTCATCAATGTTTGACTATTTCTTATAACTCGCCAATCCTTCTCTTCTCAAATCTGTAAAAAGTTTATTTGCGCGACATGTCTGGAATTTTTGCACCATAATTATATAACCATTATTTAGGTATAGAACAAAATCCTTGAGCATAATTAAGCTAGTTTCAATGGCCAACGATGTAATCATCAAACGTGTATTCAGAATTTAAAAACTTGTATTTCTGAATATCCGTCTTATGAGAAGTGAGTTATATGAGGTTTCTCGCTATTTTACTCGAATACTTGGTATGAATTCAATTTTTCAAACTGCATTCTTTCAATCATTAAAATTATTTTATATCGTGTTTAAAATTTTTTGTTTTGTGTAATTCTGACTACAAACAATTGCAGCACTAAAATTCATCAACAAAACAATGTAAATTTCTAAACAAGCCATCAAAATTCAACGTGAGCAGGAAATCATCAAGTAATGATTAATGAAGTAAATTTTAATTGACAACAATTTCAGGTATTTTATTATGAGTATGAATTTTTTTATATTTTCAAACTTAACTCGAAAATCAGACAAATTAATTAAAGCCTAGCGTCGATATTTAAATTAAGAAATAAAGGAACATAAGTTAGTCCATATTGAAGATAAAAGAAGTGCTTGACGGCGACTAATTCCTTAAACTGAAATCCGAAAAATGTAAAAATATTCCTGGACCCAAGACGACGATGCTGCGAAAATTACGGGTATAACTTCTCTATTTTAGGTCGCGACGAATGACTGATTGCGAATTTTGGGAGCTCACTCGCTTTCTCGTGCACTTCTCTGCCAAGTTACCGAACAACAAACTTGCTGAGACGGCAAGGCCTGGAGAGCCTTTGCACCCGGAGGCTTTTAAGGCCAAACTCAAAGTTATAAGTCCGTCCTCCTGGGTTTTCAACCTCTTACAAAAAAATTAGCTGCGTCTTGCAAGCGTAGCTGACTAGGATAATATTGAGGTCGCTGCTAAGTTTGACCATTCTCAGTCCTGAGTTGAAAGATTAACTTTGAGTTTTTATTTTTGAGCGCGCCACTAAAACTTGCTGAATTATTCAGCATTGAATTCAGGGCTTCGTTTGACCCTTCTCAGTAAGGGCACCTCCCTTTACTCAAGAGTAAAAAAAGCAACCGTGTTTTCTATTATTGAGCAGGTCACCAAAATTTGATGAATGATTTAACATTGAATGCTGTGCCAAGTTTGTTCCTTCTCAGTCCCGAAAAACAAGGTTAACTGTAGTTTCTATCACTGAAAGGATCAAAAAACTTTGTTGACTTCTATAAAATTAAATTTAGTGATAAATTTTACCCTCCACGGAGGTTAAAAAATTAACTGTGGGTGTCTAGAATTGAGCGAGTCAATAAAATGTACTGAATTATTCAACATCATCTTCAGCGCGAACTGAACTTCTTAGAAACGACATGAAATGAGGCACCTAGCACTGCACGAAGAACTGAAATACAAACGAAATATTATTTGTACTATTCATCGTAGTACTGAACCACCCGTAACTTTGTCACCATGGGTTAAAATTTCACGCTACCTTGATAATTTATTCAGCTGTACCAAACATAAGAGCGTGAATATAACATAATCTGAACTTGCGTAATTAAAGTTCGCTGCAAACGTCTTAAGGTGCAAATATTTCCTTCATTGTCAGAAGGAAATGATGTTAAATTTTAAACTCGAAGCTCAAGTTGATTCTGTTTAACTTTGAAACTTTCTTCTAGTGAGCCTCCACGTTTCGACTTTAAAACGTCAATTTTAAACTTTAAATCTCAAAATTCAATTCCACACTTGCTGTTCGGAAATCACGAAACTTTTTCTACCGCTAGTGTGCAGAGCAAAAAAAGTCACTCATTGTTCGCATCCCATAATCTCTTTTTCCTAGTTTCCTTCGGGGAGCTCTTGCAATTACACGAGCTATTTGTTCACCACTCCGCACTCTTACTTTAGAACTTGGCTCGGAACTTTTAATTGGCTATCATAGAACAATGACTTAATCTGTCCCGAGCCTAAGCAGACCGACGTTCTGGGAGTTCGAATCGATGATAACAATGCATATTGTGAACTTGTTATCCTGTTTATAGGGCAAGCTGTTGGAACTTGATTCGATTAAAATCCTTTTTCCGAATTTTCGCAGGGTTTAAGTGAATTATTTGGTGTAGGCTACTTACCCCTCGACGAAGCTCATACTGTTTGTGTTAGATTACAGTTTGTCAGGTTTGCCTCGTGGAATAAGTGATGATTGAAACTCTTATTAATCGTATTTTCTTACGGAGGCAAACACAGCATAATTGAAACAACATTAAAAAATTACAACACAAAATTATATTGCTGATGTTTTTACAACTACAGTACAATGCTAATTCACCACTTTTCTTTTATCTTTTCATGTTCCCGTCCATTGCATTCAACGCAAACTGAAGCGATCGGCTAAAAAATAGTTAAATTTAATTTTTACGTACCAGTATGAAAGTTTAGCCTGAACGTGTTATTTAGAGAAGATATTTAAATGAGTATTCCCTGCTCACTCAATGTTTTCCTATAATATATATGTGTATAAATCATCATACACGTGCCCCAACATATGAGGCTCTGTACCGATCTTGGCCTTTTTGCCATGTTTAAATTAAGATCGAAATTGTATTCATCATGTCAAATAGTATCAATGGGTAGAATTTACGTTTGAAAAATGTATAATAAATGTTCACATTTCGAGCTTAAATGTGCATACTCGTTGTTCCGACGTAATATAACAAGGCTGAAGTGGACTGATGGAAATTAATTTATTTAAAAAGCCTTATTCATGATGATATCTGAAGGACGAAACAAAAACCCTGTTTCAAAATTAATGCGAAGGAATTTTAAACGAGCATAGTTATCTCAAACTTGATTGAATTGATATCACAAGAAAGCTAGGTAGCCAATTTCATTGGGGTACGTCTTGTATAGGTGTTTTTTGTTTCAAAATCCCAACAATTACATTTTATTGTCTTGGCTCGTCATGGTTCGGAATTGTCAGTCACGATTCGAGCTCCCTCATTGTATCCCTCATTGTATATTGCTTATTTTAAGATTCACCTGACAAAAAGTTTCATTGATAAAATGAGCGTCAATCACGGAAACTAGTATAGTAAGTTTAGTCATAAAATTATTTTGCTTTAATGCAGGGTGGCTGATACAAGTATAGATGCTAATGTCAGTACAGTGGGAACCTGTGCACAAGGCCTTACTATTTTTTCTCCGACTGTATAGTTAATGTCAACGTACTAACAATGGTATACTATGTACAAGTACATAACCACGAGTATCCTAGCTGACTGGTGTTGTCTTATTGTGGCACCTGGTTATTTTAAAGACATGTTGTTTCCACCTTCGGGGATCTATTATAAACAGTGAAATCAGTGTCTAGAAAATCGGGATACTTGCTCCGAAAATGCACTCCTCAGATTTCAAAATGCACGATAAATGCAATTTGAGAATCCAAGGTTAACACTCACTGACAATTTCTTTTATACATAGTAGGTTCGGTCTATATAAGGGAGTGACTTATTATAGGAGGGGTTCAGTTTCCTGACTTGCTGATCGTATATGATACACAGGAGGCATAATGTCCAACTGATTATTACAATGGTGGAATGACGCTGGAAGATACAGTATTTTTTGTTTATATTGAATTCTCTCAATAAAACATCACTGAGGTTTATTTTGGCACAGCCGGAAACATCACAATTTTTTCGGTGCGGCCTAAATAAGCACTGGGGTTAATCACTACGGAACCTAAAATGTAATGGCTTTTTATTTATTTCGGCACAAGAAGAAATGTCCCTTGATTTTATTTTATCACGACTTAAAAATCGAAAATATATATTTTTAAACAGCCCAAGCAGAGCGGCTTCTAGTTTTGCGTATTCTAAAATATCACTTTTTAGAATGAACGACTAAATATTTCGTTATTTTTAACAACGGTGAAAACTACTGAATGTAATAACTGTTAATTGCTAAATGAACGTAGGTCAATTTGGATAAACCTAAGTAATCGAAATAATTTCATAAGCTAGGTAGTCATTTCTCGTAGTACACATATTGTATATGTAATAATTTTATTTAAAAACCCCAGCAATCACATTTTTTGTAAACTAACCACGTTTCGAGAGCATTTTTATTATTCTCAAGTTATGCATATACCGTTTGTAAAAGGATTTTAATGGATTATACACATGTGATTCGTCTTGGATTGTACCGATGTTTAGTAATGCATCATACCAGTGTTTTATGATAGATTATATCGGTGTTTAGTAATGCATCATACCAGTGTTTCGTAATGGATTATCCCGATGTTTAGTGATGCATCATACCAGTGTTTCGTAATGGATTATACCGGTGTTTAGTAGTGCCTCATACCAGTGTCTCGTAATGGATAATCCCGATGTTTAGTAATGCATCATACCAGTGTTTTATGATAGATTATACCAGTGTTTAGTAATGTATCATACCAGAGTTTAGTAATGTATCATACCATTGTTCGTAATAGATTATATCGGTGTTTAGTAATGTATCATAACAGTGTTCGTAACGGATTATACCGATGCGATGTTTAGTAATGTATCATACCAGTGTTTCGTAATGGGTTAGCCTCATCCATCACATGATTGTTGCAGTGCCGCCTGACAGCGTTCGTATCGTGGATGAAACAGACAGCGAGAAGAGCTCAATGATTGGTCCTTACGTGCTCGGTCAAACCTTGACGCTCAAGTGCATCGCTAAAGGAGGTAAGAAATATCGTTAAAAATAACGTTAAAATACCTTTTTTTCAGTTTGCTGTTTCTGCCTTTATCAGAATTAATGATTTTTTAATGTAATTTGTCCAAAGAACGCAATGTCATTTATTTAGTTTATTCATGTGGGATAATAATTATTCTAGGCTAGTTCGAATAAATGTATGTTGGTGAAGTAATCATGTTTAAAAACGCAGAAGTGGACTTCCGGGAAGAATTTAAACATTCTTCACAAGTTCTATGATAATGATATAATTTATTTAAATGACATATTTTATCATTGTTTGATGATTTAAATAATCATTTAGGTATAGATTGTGTACAATGTTATAACGTGAGCACTGTAGAAAGTAAATTCATTATGTCGTTAATATGGAAGGTATTTCAGAAATCTGATGCAGTGCAGAAAAAGCACCGAATGTAATTATTAGTGCCGCGATGCCCGTCATATAATTTATAATAATAAATAAATATGCCCATTTTATATGCTAATAAATTTATAATAATATGCCCATCATATTATAAATTAGCGTGGCTGTGTATCCATCTGATCTTTTTTATACACTCTCGCTTAATATCGGCTTTTGTTTTAAATCGCTGCAGGTCGAAGAAACTTTTTCATCGATCCTAAAAAATGTTTGGAAACTCCGTACGAACTTTCTATATAAGTTCCGCAGATAGCATTTCCTGAAACAAGGAGCTGGAAAAAGTGTCTTCTTTGACTTTTGCTTCACGCAAAGGTTTTTTGAAAACTCCAGTTCGCCATAAATAACAAAATTTGTGAAAATCTCGCAAGAACCGCAGACTTTCCTAAAGTCACATCGGTTATCTTCCTGTCAAACTTATTCTGTCTCTGAAATTCCTTTGAATGCCCAAAAAGATTCCATCACGGAGTCTAAAAAAACGTAGCCGACGACGGGAGCCTTATTTCTATATTTTTTATAGAAGAGACGAATGTCGCAAGTTTTTAACAATGGTTCCGTGTGGAAAGAAATTCATACTCATTTAGTAGGCCTCTTTTACAAATTTAATTCACGGCTCGTACACTTCACCTATTGTTGAAGCCGGATCATCGATTAAAGGAATTGTTTAGTCGAATTGTTCATTCCCAAATTTTTCCAAAGTGATAGTTTTCATTAATATTGAATTTGAAGTATTTATGGTATAAACATATTAGGTATCAAGTTTTCTTGTTTCTTGTTTCATTCGAACTATGCACGTTCTATCACAGAAGGACTGAGATTATATGACATACGATTGCACGATTGAAAATTAATTCAATGTTTGTCCCAGAGCTTGTGTAAAAGTAACCTTTGTTATTAAATTATGAGAATATGATTCCGAGCATTTGAATACCAGAACTTTTGTACTTGAATCTTGTATTGTCATCACAAAACAAAACCCATTTTGATTGTTTCAGACCTGTATGTATGTCAAAATATTTTCTACATCTCAATCTTTTTGCTTCATATCTTTATGAAAGCCCATATCATGACGATATCCAGATACAATATCCATCCAGGAAATATAGAACGTACAATACGCATGCAACGCAAGCAAGCAAAAATATTTTCGATCCGTATATTTGTTGCTTACTAGCTTTACGAAAGCCCATATCATGTCGGAATCAAGATGCAAACATGTAGAAACTCTATCCAGGAAATACTAACACGTACAATACGCAAGAGACGAAAACATAGTACACAAGAGACGACAACAATCAGCCATGAACTGCTGTTCTCGACAGAGCTCGGCAGCTATGGGACTCAGCGGCTGCCGAGTCGAACACCAAACTTGCGGCATTTCCAGCAACTACAGAAACGCACAACTCGATCCTACAACTTGCCAGAGCGTGACCATGCAAGCCATTTCGTGCCAAGAACGGACACATCTCTAAGCTTAGATATTCAGAATTTGCGGCTAACTTTCTGATGAAATTGTAACGTGGCGGTTCCGCGAACGCAAGGAAAGTTGTAGCTGCTCTCTGTAGGTATAAGATTTGGTCTTAAAATTAATTAGGAATCACTTTACTTTGCAAGATCGTATACCTAGGTTTATGAAACTGAGAATTGAGATAAGAAGTGAGGACAAAAATATAAGCTAGTGCTTCTTACATGCTTCTCAGTGAAATGCTACTAAATATTTCTTCTATTGTCGTCCCTTTTCACGTGCCTCAAATTTATGTGCTGAATAGCAGGTTATAATTTGTTTTACTTCCCCTATGAATTGAGAGATTTTCATTTCGAATATACAGTTTCGTACTACCTTGCAGAAATGTATTTTATTTCACACCAAAAATAATAATTTGATCACTTCTTTTCCAAACAAGATATTTATTAACTCGTTTTCAATCATCTTTTCTCCTTAAAATGTTTTTCTAACCATAGTTAAATGCTTCCTTGAATATTGTTAAACCAGTAGAAAATTTTGTCAAATGCATTTCCAAAAAATTGAATTTAATTCTGATCTTAAAGCCGACATCATTTGAAACTTGGCCTCTGCTTTCTGGAATCAAAAATTTCACAGAATTTCATATATCAGGACTTTGACGGACGTGATAGCTTCATGTTCCTTTAAATAGATCAGTTACACGTTATCGGAGCCTTTTTATTCGGTATTGCTTCGAAACCTGGCACATGACACAAAGCCAATATAAGAAGTTCCCTGTTATTTAGATTTGAAACAATTAATATTATTTTAGAAAGACATGCCGGTTTCCCTATAGAATCAGCAGTGACTGATTGAAGTACTGCACTGAAAACATCAAGCTTAAATACGAAAACTTTAAAGTTTCAAATGCTAATAATATTCGTATAAATTACTTGTATAAATCAGAGAAAGGAAAATGTCATAATTCTTGGTATGGGCATCAAAAACTTGTTGGTTTCCATGCGAAACATTCCTCAAGCGTAAAATATTTAGACTAGCCTCCCAATGGCTGACCGCTTTCGCTTAGAAGAATCCGTGACATGAACCGCTTCAAAATATAAGATTTCGTACCTTAATTTTCAAAATACGCAGCATAAGTTTTTGTAGAAAAATAATCCATGGAAAAAGCTTTTGCTAGCTGTAGGGATTCGTACCAAAATCATCAAATGCCCAGGAAGAGAATTGGTAGGAAAATTATCTATGACAGAAAAATGTGAAAAGTTTTAGATTTCGTTCCGCAATCCTCTGAATAAACTACATAAGCGTTGGTATACGCTGTCCAAAGTAGGGCTTCTTTTATCCAGCATTATAACTGCGTCGTGCTGGGCTCAGCCTTTGGCCTTTGATTACAGTTCTCTTCAAGTCGGCCTCGGGAGATGCCCTCTTGAAATGGTATCTATAAATACGCTTCCAAGCGAGCGCGCTTGACCACTTTTTCAATTTGGTCTGTCAAGAGAGGAGGCATCTCAAGAGTAGATTTGGAATGTTTGCTTCAACGAGAAGGTGAGCTGCAAAAGGAACTTGCCTCCTTTTTCTCGTCTTGAGCTCGTCGTAATATTGCGCGTCCTAGAATTTCAAAATCAGCCCGGCGAAAGGAAGAGAGCTTGAACGACTGCCAAAATTGACCGGATTTCGCAATTTCTCGGATTGCGAAATGATGAACCGGAGATTTCCGCCGTTGTGACTTGCTTCAAATTTCATCCAAGACGTTGTCAAGAAATGAAGATAATTGAGAACCTTTTCTCAGTTCTCAGTGCTAAAATGAAATGCTTCAAGGCATCTTCCTCTGCGACTGGCACTTGTTCATTTGACTATTTTTTCCGATTCCAACTTACACAAACTGAAATTTTCTAAAGAATTATTTTTCGGCTCATCGTTTTGTGAAATATTGAGTGAAAATTGTGGTAGAGCAGCAATATTGTCTTCAATATACTACTGTCGAAATTTGCAAACCCTTTTCGATAATGAGGTGCACGGTTCTACTTGTATTCTTTTAAATATTTTAGACCTTGAAAGAATCAAGGATGTCACTGGAACAAAATTTCGACAATCTTTTGGTTTTGTTGGTAAAAGAGTAGCATGGGGGCAAGGATGACGGTTTGATTCGAAGTTTTTTTTTCAATTCGATAATGGTATGTACAGTTACAAATGCACTATGAATACAAAATTTTATCTTTCAATTCAAAAATTTCCAGGTCGGCCACCTCCGAAGCTAACTTGGTGGGGAGGGTCTGAAGAAATCCGTGGCACGCTATCCGTAATTTCCGGGACTCCTCCACCATCCAGTTCTGGCAACACCTACAACAATGATGAGCTGTACCCAGGCCAACGTACTCCTTCTTCGGCAGGAAAATACAGCGTCAAGACTGACGAGGGTGTTGTGCCAGGTACCACAAAAATTGTCAATACGTTGACGATTCCATCGCTGCAGAGACAACACCTGCATCAGAGCTTCGTGTGCAACGCTGCGAACAGTGACCTCGAGAAAGCTGTACCGATCACTGCGGCAGTTATTGTTGATATGACACGTGAGTTAATAAGTTATTTATATTCTAAGCACAATTAAGAAGTACAATTTCATCTCTATATGAAAGATATTATATGTTGTTAGTTTCATTGAAATATAAATTGTTAATATATACGTTGCAAACTAAGTTCAGGATAAAACTAATGGCTAAAAGAAAATTCAAGCTTTTTATGATTATTTAAAACAGATACACGTCAGAATTGTTATATGAATGATAACCATTAAGTTTGGGAGGAGTTAAATGGAATCGCGAAGCATAGATGGTGCAAATGTTGTGGGAGGAAATGCTCGAGGGAAAAAAATATTGTTCGAGCTGATATCGTACATCGCAGCGTAATTATTTTCATTAAAGAAGCTATTTTTAAATTCAAAGAAAAAATTTTTTATTTCCCACTTATGGGCTCTTACCCATCTGCTGTCATCATTCGATTATACTACTCGAGATTTTCTAAAACACTACCTAAGTATTATTGTACTAAAAAAATTTGTAATTTACCACTTCTTTCTTTGTGCTTGTAATACTCCATTATTTAAAAATATTTCATATTAAAATTCAATACATTCAGTCATGGCAAAACTGCCAACTAACTTCCGAAATAAGAAAGATCGAGGATGATGAGCACCAGACGCTGCTGGGTATCCCAGGGCTTGTTTTGCAGCACTCCTTCTTATTAATGTTTCAGTCTGGGACCAAAATTTCTTTTCGGCGCGTCAGGCAGCGAAGCTTTGAAGTTTAAGTGCCTAGAAGCACTCGCAGCGAGATTATTGGCTGCATCTGATGCAGGCTCATGCTGCAGTGATATTCTGATGCTGGCTGATGCTGCAGAGATGGTGTAGATCTGGAATATATGCTACAGAGATGTGCTGAAGCTGGCTGATGCTGCAGAGATGGCGTAGATCTGGGATATCTGCTACAGAGATGTTTTGAAGCTGGCTGATGCTGCAGAGATGTGTTAAAGCAGGATTGTGCTGCAGAGATTGTCTCGGTGTAGAGTGACTTTATCCGAGATATTGGATTCAACTCACTGGCTCAAATATAATTACAATCTAGCAACCTCAGCTGCTGCAATAGTCTGCATGGTGTAATTGCCGATACAGAGTTTTCAGTGGCTTGTTCAAGTGCTTCAGAGATTGCGCACTATTGATATGCAATTTGTTATAACGAAAAAAGCCTATCATGTTCGTTATTTATCACCAGTTCCACCGATGCTAATCTCCCTGACGGGCATCAACGGTCCCGTATCAGCAAACGTGGGCACGAAAGTTACGTGTCGCGTGGTTGGCGCTCGTCCCCAGCCTACCGTGACATTCTGGCTGGACGGTCGACCAATAAAACCGAGCAGCGAACGTTCGTCTCACGATGGCAACGTAACTGAGAGCTCGCTGCTCTTTACGCCAACCGCCGAGGATCAAGGGAGATTTTTGTCGTGTCGCGCTGAAACCCCGGGACTTCTGCAAGGAAAACTCGAAGATGGAGTTAAGCTCGAAGTTCATTGTGAGTACTGCGGCCTTTGAGGCCTGCAATTCAATTTATACTTGATTTATAATAGTTTATTATTGATTATAACGAATTATTTTTTATTAAATATTGCAATGGTACTGTCAGATGAGGAGAATCATACTAATTGACATCCGAGATTGAATTCCAAGCTGTAGTTGAAACATGTTCAACTGTTTTATAACTGTAATAAGTTATAAAACCGGTTGAACGCTTCTCACCTGAGTTTCAACAGACATTTTTGTTTTCCGACTCGGTACGTAATCCTGCATAGCAAAATAATGAAATAATTCTTGCCACGGGCAGCAGTCAAGCATTTGTAACTCGAGACCAAATGAGCGTGAATTTATGCCAACTTGTAACTTATAATCACAGGATTTGTGAGTCAAGAGCACCGTCCCATCCGTTGCTAAGATAGATTTGACAGGATGCAGGGGCCATTATACTGTGCATGGATGTTTGTATTATGCCTTTGAAATTTGATGCTGCGGTCCATTTGTTGTTCCACGCTGCCAAATATAATTGGCCTCGAATTTAAATGAACCTCGACTTATCCTCGGGATTTTATTGGCAGTTTTGAAATAGCGAATTATTGGATATGGCGTGCGCGGTTTAGCTGAAGGCAGTACAGGTGCAACTCTATATATTTGCAAGTTCTCATATTCCATTCAATTGTGACAACAGTTTATTTCACGATTGTGAATAATAATGGGATTGACAAACTACAAAGAGCGTGACTAACTTGTAGTTGCATTTCTAGTTACAATATTTTATTTATTTTTATCACTGCATGGGTTTTTGCCCTAAATTTAACAATGTAAAACGAGAATCGTATGCTTTCTCTTGACCGTTATTTTATCAAAAGACTAATTTGATGAGTAGTTTATTTAAAAAAATGAATACAATAGTTTTTATGACCTCTGCAGAAAAAATGTTATTTCAATTGTTTTTGAAGGATAATTCGAGTCAATTTTTAAACATACAATATTAATAATAGAATATGGTAGATAAAGTTCAACACTGAAATGCATGTCGGAATAATTTATAGAATCGTTTGTTGATACCGAAATTCGGCGATCTAAATTAATGCGGCGTTAATTAATTCTGTAGCGATTTTTGATTCGGAGGCGGAAATTCTATGTTTTACGACCGACTTTTGGTCGTTAAACCAACTTCTGAGAGTTGCCATCAACCGTCTGGGATCTGTTCTTTTACGACATTCTTGCGTCGACGTCTGGCAATCAAATGTTGATGAAGTTATAAACGGAGACGTTGCATAGGGCAAGGAGGCCTCGAGACTAGAAAAAACTGACAAGAATTGTATGTTTTTTCCGGTATTTTTTGGCGGCCGGTCCTTAGAATACGGACAAAATTTTGCGGTAAATTTAGTGTTGATGAGCGCATTGTGACTGTTTATACTACAGACAGAAATTCGTTGCTGGATTTAATTTGATTTGGTGTATTGTGAATGTTTAAAATACAATCAAAAACTTGTATATCAACAAAAATGATCAGCTGGCACTTTATCGTCTAAAATTTAAATATTTCCCTAATTTTCTTGTTAAGCCTCATAAATCTTTTAATAAAATTAATTTTTTTATTCACTCAGTCATTGGGAATAAAATTGACACTCAAGTGACACATCAATAACGTTTAAAATTAATAATTTACTTCAACGCTTTCTTGTGAGCAAATGCAACTTTGCTCTTATTAGGAATCTTTATTACTTTCCGATGAATCGATAAAAATTTAATTTCATGATTTAATATGGATTTGAATTATTAATCTAAGATAAAATCTACACATTATTTTGTGAATGCATTCACTTAATTATATGACATTTTATATATATTCAAAAACCAATCAATGTAGGTGTATTGAAAATTTCAATCTTTTATGAATTTTACTTCAATACATTCGCATTATCCCTTCCACTCATAACATCAACTTAGTGAATTAATTTCAGCGAATTGATCAAAATAGTTCCGTTATATTGCTGTATTTTGCGCTGAACATGGCTCTGGTGTCCAAACCGTCTTATTACGAGGATCTCGTAATAAGACGTAAAAGATGTAATGTAAAAGATGTAGTGTAGACGATGTAACGTAGAAGATGTAATGTAGAAGATTTAATGTAGAAGATGTAATGAAGAAGATATAAGGTTGAAGATGTAACGTAGAAGATGTAATGTAGAAGATGTAATGTAAAAGATGTAATGTAGAAGACGTAATGCAGAAGATGTAATGGAAATGTAATGTAGAAGATGTAGTGTAGAAGATGTAATGTAGGAGATGTGTTGTAGAAGATGCACTGTAGAAGATGTAATGTAGAAGATGCACTGTAGAAGATGTAATGGAGAAGATGTAATGTAGAAGATGTAGTGTAGGAGATGTAATGTAGAAGATGCAATGTAGAAGATGTAGTGTAGAAGATGCACTGTAGAAGATGTAATGTAGAAGATGTAATGCAAAAGATTTAATGTAGAAGATGTAATGTAGAAGATGCACTGTAGAAGATGTAATGTAGAAGATGTAGTGTAGAAGATGCAATAGAAGATGCAATGTAGAATATGTAATGTTGAATATGTAATGTAGAAGATGTATTGTAAAAGAAGTAATGAACGTCTCGTTATTACATCTTCTACGTCTCGTAGAAGATGTAAGAATTTTTTGTCTGTATCTTTGAAATTAGATTCATGTATATAGTGCAGTTTTGAGCAATAAATTGTCTTCATAATGCTTTTTCAATCATAGTTGGTACGGATATAACCGACTCACGATAATAGTGTTACGTTTATTTTAAATAATTAGAGTTTATTGCCATGAATTATACATATTATTTTACTTGGCTTTAATCCACGAATTTCATTGCTTATGATTAAAACATGTAAATCCCTTCAACTTATCACTGAACTGTGCACAAATTACTCGACTTGCTTTCAGCTCCGAAAAACTTGAGGTTTTAACAACACAGCCCGATTCCGTTTGGGTTTATATGTATTAGATATATTCGCAGTAAATATATATTTTCAATTAAACTTTATCTTTGTCTTTATATTCCGCATACATGTGCAGGCATTTTTCAGTTACAGAAAAAAATTATGAAGAAAGAAACGTTGAAATGAATTTTATATAATTAGATTGGACCTGAATCTAAATCAATTCAAGTTGAATTTTACGAAATTATTTTCACGTGCAGAAGTTCCAGTAGAGAACATATATATAGCTTTAAAGGAGTCTGGAATTAAATTAAAATATTTCATGTGTTTTCAACTGGAATGATGGTCTTTTACATTCCAGTGGTCTGAAATGGAATGGTGTATTATATTCTACAGTGGTCTTAACTGGAATGGTCTATAAATGAACTGGAATGGTCTATTACATTCCAGTGGTCTGCATTGGAATGAAAATCACTGAAATTAAAGTTTATTTCACTTGAATTATTTCCATGTGCAGACATTGCAGTGGTTAATTAAATTGAATTATTTCCATGTGCAGACATATCAGTGGTTAAATAAATTGAATTATTTCCATATGCAGACATCGCAGTGGTTAATTAAATTGAATTATTCCCATGTGCAGACATATCAGTGGTTAATTAAATTGAATTATTCCCATGTGCAGACATAGCAGTGGTTATTTAAATTGAATTATTTCCATGTGCAGACATGTCGGTGGTTAATTAACTTGAATTATTTCCATATGCAGACATGCAGAGGTTAATTAAATTGAATTATTTCCTTGCACAGACATGCAGTGTTTAATTAACTTGAATTATTTCCATATGCAGACATAGCAGTGGTTAATTAACTTGACATATGCAGACATGCAGAGGTTAATTAAATTGAATTATTTCCTTGCACAGACATGCAGTGTTTAATTAACTTGAATTATTTCCATATGCAGACATAGCAGTGGTTATTTAAATTGAATTATTTCCATATGCAGACATAGCAATGGTTATTTAAATTGAATTATTTCCTTGTGCAGACATACCAGTGGTTAATTAAATTGAATTATTTCCATGTGCAGACATGTCGGTGGTTAATTAAATTGAATTATTTCCATGTACAGACATGCAGTGTTTAATTAACTTGCATTATTTCCATGTGCAGACATACCAGTGGTTTATTAAATTGAATTATTCCCATGTGCAGACTTACCAGTGGTTTATTAAATTGAATTATTTCCATATGCAGACATAGCAATGGTTATTTAAATTGAATTATCTCCACGTGCAGACATACCAGTGGCTAACATATCGCTGGGACCTCGACTAAACCGCCACAACATCAAGGAAGGCGACGACGTGTACTTTACTTGCTCCATCCACGCATCACCCCCGCCCACCACCGTCCACTGGTACCATGATGTGAGTGTCCACTGGTACCGTGATGTGAGTGTCCACTGGTACCGTGATGTGAGTGTCCACTGGTACCGTGATGTGAGTGTCTACTGGTACCATGATGTGAGTGTCCACTGGTATCATGATTACCGTAACGTCATTACTATTTAGGAGTAACCCGACGCTCTAACTAAACCTACGTAATCGTATATAGTTTTTACTGTGATATGAGCATGCACTGCAGTGCCATAAAATGTAATATATAATAAAGGTGCAGGTAACACATGTTTTCTATAATGAGATACGCAACTAATCATTACGAAAGCATGGCCTTCAATGATAAATTATTAAACACTTCGGAAGGATTTACAGTTGGCAGATGCCCAAATTTGGGGGCGCATGCCTCTGTCGTGGTCATATCAGATAAGAGTGATCGATGTAATCCATTGACCCATTATAGCCCGCCATTAACACTACCATTTCGCATGGCAATGCATCGCAATGACCGTCATTGTCGTAGAGCATTTCGAATTATCGTTTCGAAGTTTGCGTGAAATGTTAGCGTTGTTGTTGCTTCGGTTTTCGATCAAACTTGAGTTTGTGACAATTAAGCATTCCACCTTTCACCGGAGCCGCTTTTTAAAAGTTTTTTTCAAAGCCTGTGAAATATTTAGAGCTTTGCTTTTACTAGCCAAACGTATGAGATGAGTTCGTTGCCAATACCCAGGCAACTTTCATTTCTGATAAAACGCAAAGAAGGTTCATGTTTCTTTCATTTAAGCCTCCCACTGCATTCAGTACGAAACTTCGATTGATGCGCTTGATAGAACAAGGAATACATTTATTAAAATGATTTAGACCAGGCAAAAAAATATCAATAAATATTTATAAATAAAGACAAAATGACATGAAAGTCATCTGGAAAATACATTTTGCTTTAGAATTCGGCTGCAAACTGTCACGCCCTTGATCGATCAGATGAGTTAGTTATAAAAATAATTTTCCTGAAATCTACGTTTTTCCCGAAGCAGTGGTAATCATACCTCATCGGATCTCTAAATGCAGGATATAATTTTACCTACTATAAATAACAGCGCAACTTTGGCATCATTGCCAGAAAATTCATGGGTAGCCACCGCTCAAAATTCGTTGCGAGTCTAATTTTTGAAGCCGAGTTTGGTTTGAAGCGCAAATGGAAGCGACGGAATACTTCATATTCATTGTGTAAACAGGGACGGTATCAGCTACAGAAGCCTGAATTACCATTCATTTGCATTTCGTTTGAAGGACTTGGCACAGCGATCGATGCTACCCAATTTTACGCTCATTGATCAACTCGGCAAAGTAACGTCGAATTTCTACATATTTCTTTATAGGAAGTCAGACATTAAAAAAATTAAGAGTCTCCATTTCCACCAGACAATGAATAACAAAAATTTATCTTTGTTATTCCATCTTTGTCTCAGGGAATGAGATTGTGACCGGCATGAAAATTTTCACATTAGGCTCCCGTGCTTTAATATTTATCGAAAGATCAACATGATTTAGGTAGTGAATTATGTAGATTGATTCCACACATTATGTTGGTAATTTTATGAATGAGAAGCAGTTGGCAATTTTGATTTTATGTATCTTTGTTTTGGACCTGACTATCATTATTTGCCATTCAGAAATCGTAAGATTAAGACTGCTTAAACAGTTGAAACTGTAATCGCTCTTCCGAGTTGTTTTCATGAAATTTTCTACAATATTATGGGCATTATAGTTTTAAACAATTCAATCTTCCTTATTGATTAACGATCGTAATTTTTAGATATTTATTTGAATTATTAGTGTGGTTCAACCCTAATAACGTATATACATGCACACTAATACAGCTTATAAAACAATATATCATCACAAACTCTCACTTAATTTTGAAGGGAATTCATGCATGGCAGGAGAAGGGAAATCATTTATTCATTCATATTGTGATTTCTTGCTGATGTAGAGACTCAACGGCATGGCTATACTTAATTATAACTATATTATGCGTTTCATCGGATAAGTCATATTACGATTCCGCACCCGAATTCATATATGAAGAATATTCTATAGTGAAGCGATTCAAGAAGCATTGTTAAGGTGGCATCAGACGATATAGGACAGCGCTACAGTGCGACATGAAACGCCGGTGAGAATTTTTAGGGATTCTGGTGGCGTTTGTGGAATAGCCCGGGATTTTTGCCTCGACTGTCTGTGGAATTTAGTGGTGAGCGACGAGAGTTTGGGACCGAAGTGCTAGATTTCTAGTGTTGGTATAGCGAATTTGATTATATTAGCGGATTAGCCGGAGAGTTTGACGATTTTTGTACAATTTTTGCACCATGGCTTTTTAACCTTCTATTTGATGGCTTGAGGATATTTACCAAATATCGTTCTGTGCATTTCGATCTCCAGCTTCTACTCTGCGCAATTCTCATTTTATTTATGTATGAAATTGGTTCAACTTAGGTTAATAATTTCGTTCATTTATATATCCTGTGGGTTTCTATGAACATAAAATTTGTGCAGTGCTGGAAAAGTTAGAAAGCTAGATCGCCGAAGCACCAGGCAGAGAATAAACATGAATGATAAAGATTAAAAACTAATTCATGTAAACAATTTACAATATTTTATTTTTAATTTATTTATTTACAATATTTTATTAATATTTTATTACAATATTAATTTGACGAATTTCCTGACCGTAGCGGATGAAGTTCCCTATTTGTAAACCAACGATAAATATTAAGTGGGTTCAAATTTCTTCGTCTATGTTATTCAGTTTCAAAATTTTATTTATATATATATTTTTTTTTCGAATTATACTGTAGTATTTCTTCTCTAAACAAAATGGCTGAGACGGTGTTACAAGAAATTCAAGTGTTAGATAAATTTATGATTCGAAACTTTTCTAAAATTTCGGAAAATTTGGACTTTACATAATTTGATCGATTTATTGCAATTAGTATAAAGTTCTTATCGTCCAAACCGCTATGAAAATTACCAGATTTTGATGCCCGAACTCGAAATTTCACAGCTATTTAAGCCAACAACAGAATATACCAAACTAAATTTCAATAAACTATTCAACGTAAAATACGTAGCTGTAAAATCATTTTTTATATCACTCTGGCGACTAGAAACGTCTTCCGTTACAAGACAAAACATCGTCCAAAAACGCGAAAAAATAACAGAGAAGACAGGAAGGGCAGAACGCTTGTACTCGCCGATAGATGAAAACGAAATAAACAAACACTGGAGCGGTAAAAAAAATCCCTGGCTTTAGTGGAAGAGTTTTCGATTCGAAAAGTGTCGGATGTGACTGGAATTCTTCGGTGATTTTAGAGCAGCATTTCTTTCAGTGAAGGGGAAAGATAATTCGGAACTAACTCTCGTTGAATTGAACCAATGAAACTGTCTTTCATTGAGTTTGGCATTTAGAAATGGAAACCGAAACTACGCGCGTTTTTCAAGTGTTTTTTGCAATTTATTGAATAAACATAATATGATGTATTATTGTTATATGTATCGGTACGATGGATACATTATTTATATTATCATGTTTTTTGTGATAATATGGATTTAAAATAATAATACAGTATACATATAATAGCATTTAATCCTTGAGATCATATCTCATTGCTTGATAAAAGATTTCATACAGAATATGCATCACGCTCTGGTATGAGCATTTTTATTGCTTGTATAGCTTTTTTGAATTTTTTTCGGTGGTATTAATTGTTAATTGATATTTATAGTTCCCGATCTGTCTTCTTATACAAAATTCGAAATTTTTACTCAATCAATGTAATGACGTTGTTAAATAGTTCATTAGCACTGAAAGCATTGATAGTTCATTCTCATTGATAAAATTTTCAATGAAAAGTGATTAATGCTCTTGGTATTTTTTTGCATATAAAGCTTCTGGTTTCTTATTCGTTTTAAGCAATAAATTTTTCATAATACTCGTGGTTTTATTTCTAAATTATTTGACTGGAATTATAACATTAACTGTATTTAAACACAAGCCTTTTTTCATCTTCCTAAATACTCAGTCTAGAATTATATATAAAATTATACCAATGTGTATATATAATTTCAAATAAATTTGAATATGTTTTGCTTGCAGAATATTCAATTTTCAATCCTATGTCAGATTCATTATTAGCTCATCTCTCAACAACTTTGAAATAGGCATCTCATTTGTTTCTACCTGCGAAATATCTTTTTATAAGTGCCTGGTATATGCATTCATGCAATGTCCACTTCATTCATTCTCATTTTCATCCCTTATTACTTCCTATTTACCGGTATTTTTCGCCCGATATTGTTTCTCAGAATATCCGGGACGTATTCCAACATTAAATTCTTCTCTCCCAATCGCCCGTATTTATCCTCCTTGCCTTTTTTAAAAAAATCAACATATTCCAAACGATAAATTATTCACGCATTTCCTCTTCCAGAATATCCACCTGCTAGTATATCCAGGGCGTATTCCTATATTAAATTATAATATAAGCAAAGGTAATAAATAAATAAACAAATTTTAGACATAAATTAAACAAATTCTTACCATATTTCCGCTTGCAGAACATCCACTTGAGTCCGAACTCGAGCAGCTCTAGCGCAGTGTCGGCCAGCGGCGGAGTGTTGGTGAGCAACGTAAGCCTGCTGGTGCACAGCGTCGGCCGCCGCTCCATGGGCGAGTACACGTGTCGTGCTACCAACACTGAGGGGACTGGATCTTCCAGACCTTTCCTTCTCGACGTCAAATGTAAGTGCAGTTGCATTTATTTTGAGCAGAATTAAATTTTTATTGATTCGCACGTGGCTTCATATATTATGTTTCTTAATACAATATTTGTAATAATATTCTTCATAAGTATTCATAATATATTCATGATATTCTTCTTATTACTATTATTCTTATTAATATTGATGCATTCTTAAATGCTGCTATTGGCATTGTATCATCTCATTGACCATTAAGTGACACCATAAAATAATTCATCAATGTATTAATTTTGTTGGAACGCAAATCAAAGTGATGGGGGTTTTTCCATTGATCGCCGAGTCATTGAATTATTCTCAAATTAGGCAATATTGCAAATTTTTGTGCAGCAAATTCATCACCTTCACGTCTCTTTAATTTTCACAATAATTTATGTAATTTTAGGAAAATTTTAAAGAATCCTGTTTCCCCGTTTACCGAATATACGGAGGGGCTTTTCATAGTAATTTTAAGAGAATTTTAAAGAATCCTGTTTTCCCGTTTACCGAATATACGGAGGGCCGAAAGGGCTTTTCATAGCGGCCCTAAAATGAAGTGGTCCTTATGAAGACGTGATCTCTCAGGCGGTTGCCCCAACATCCGAACAATTGACGCTTCCAAATGGAGGCAGCAATGCTTTCTCCTTTTATTGAATTCATTAGGAGCCTCCTACGCATTATCGGATTTTCAGAAACACTTGTTCAAGGATTTTTTTGGACAGTCGTTTCCTTTGGTACGGGAACTTTGGTGGGTTAGATATATCGGTGAACAATATTGGTGCTATGTTTCGGTTTATTCAAAATTTTGATTTGGAAATTCCGCTTACGAAATGAAAGGGAAAGGAACTCGTAAATTACTCGGACCTAGTATGATAAAACATTTTATTTACATTTTGTAATGATATAGCTTCAGCTTAACTTAGATAACATTTTGGCGTTCAGTGAGATTTTCTTACAATTTTTTGTTGGTCAAATGTTTTTTATACTCGTTATCCATATTAAGTAATGATCTAGCTTCACCTTAACTTAGGTAACATATTTTGGTATTCATGTAAATTTTCTTAAAAATTTTGTAACTCAAATACTTTTTTCTCCTCGCGACAGACAGCCCAATATGTCGCTCGGCTCAGAAATGGCAGTACGGCATCGCTTATGAAGAACAAGCCAAAATTCTGTGTCAAGTCGACGCAAATCCACCGCAAGTGGCTTTCCAGTGGACCTTCAACAACTCTGCTGAAATTAGGAGACTGGCAGAGTCGAGCATTGTGAACAACTATACGGTCAGCGAGGTAAGTGGCTTGTTATTGTGACTCTCCTCTTCAGATAATAAAGACGCTAATAAAATCAATTCTTTTTTTTTGTTGGAATGGTGAGTGTGGGAGGCCTTTTAAAAAAAAAAGACACTAAATGCCACCCGTTTCCCGAACGTCGATGATTCTTGACGATGTGATGGTCGGTAATAATCAGAATTACCGATTAATTTCGCTTCCAATGACCGGACTACAGCTATATATAACGAAACATCATGTCTATGTATATACTAAAAAATAATGATGCTCCATGCATGAACAATTTTACCATTTATGACACCAATTATTTTTTTATACTTAGACTTTAACATTCAGTCGCGTAGTTTTGAATCGCATTCAATTTTAGTTAGTTGATGCTCTAGTTTCTCGAATATAGTTCCTACTGTTCCTATCCGAAGTTCCTAACTTAAATAATCTAAGAAGATTACTGTTTAATTTTGAAATCATTTTCAGTCTAAAGACACTTACCCTTTGAAGCGAAAAATATTATATCGACTAATGTTTAAAACAAAATGATTATTAATGGTTATCTGGGGAATATTTTGCTTTCATGGACTCTCAGTGAATATTCTCAAAATGTATGAACTATTTATCCTATATTTGGTATTCGGTTGAAAGAATATTAATTTTTTCCTTCTTAACACTCTTCCGAGAGAGCATGATGACTAAAATTATTTTTCGCTCATCGGTCACGAAAATTTCCATGACATGAATTCAGTGCCAGACGGAAGAGGCTTTTTCTGTCTCTGTTTACACGGCGTAAAGCGTCCTCATCAGTGGCTTGCAGCCACCGTCTTTTATCCAATTACCGGCGAGTTCTCTCTCACTTGGCCTGATCCTCGCCATGCTGAGTCAGCAAATAGCCAACGAATTGCCGACGTGGTTGTGATGCCTGAAATAAAACAGGGAATAAACCGCGCTTCTTCGCGTCTGTCGATATATTTTGCAGCTTCTTTCGGGCTTTTAAAAACCAGAGGCGCATCGTCGGCAATCAAGTGGCCACCTAAAATTCAGCAGAAATTTTATTGAGCAGGAAATTAATGCGTGATTTTTAAAAACCGTTTTAGCAAGGGACAGCACACATAATGCTTATTATTTTGAAACTTCTTCCTGACCTAATTAACTGAATTATTCTCGATTAAAGTTATGTCGATTCGTAATTGTATGCGAATCATCAATAAATTTGTATGATTTGAAAAATGTTCTCAAAATAACTTCTATCGACGTTATGTAAGTAATTTTTTCTCGTTGTCAAGGTAATCAAAAATTTTTTTTCGAAAATCTTACGAATCTCCCCATTCAAGTTTCATAGTAGCTCATATTTTCAAGTCTTCGTCATACTGTTCTATTTGTTAACGATGTCGATCTTTATTTACTTCAATCCTGTCCCAACCAACGTCGTCTTTAGGTTATGCCACGAATTGAATCGACAATTGTCCATATTTATTATAGCACTTCAGGCGCACTCCTCAGAACACATATGATAAATCACCCACAACGTAACGGCATGCATCCGAGAGGCGTTGCTTGAGGAAGGCCGATACCAGTAACGGCTTTTGTGTCATGGCAATGGCAATGTTTTCCTTCACTGTTGTTTATGCGACGCGCCTGCTGATGGTCACGACGACACGTGCTGTTTTTCTCTCGCCTGCGTGTTTGCTCGTAGATAAACAGCAAGGAAATAGACGAGCTATCTGTGCAGATATTGGAGACGTTTTCCGTACAGTGAGACGACGCCGCTGCGATGTATACTTCATTGAATGATGCCTTGCCGCTTCGGCAGGTGTCGAATGATGCAGTTCTTCTTATCATTCATATATATTGGTACTGTGGGAAGCGAAATCGAGTATATATCATGCTGCCTACATCTTTTTGTTGTGTCTGTTCAGCTTCACCGTTTTCACATTTCGCTTGAGAAAGACTCGAATCGAGAACTTCGCCAACTGAAACTTAAACAGTATTTTAAACTCGTAGTTCTCACTATTAGATTAACTGCTGACAGTGAATAGGGAATTGTTTCTACTGAAAAATATAACTAAGAGAAGCTGAAATTATATCAATTCGAAATTAAGTATATGATAAATGTTGAATGCGGTGGTTCCAAGCATCATGAGGCCTAGAGTTAACATAAACATTTATTTTAAAGAAATGGTTCATGTTCTCGAAAATCTTGTTCATTCTTTCTTGAAATGTAAACAAATGACATTAAAACCAAATTCATTATCATCTTACCAAACGTCTTATTCGGGACGAGAATTATTGTAAACATCTCAATTGCTATAAATGATTTTTTACTTAAATTTTTATGTATTTATGCATATTCATCAGCCATCATTTTCTCTAGCCCTGCATCTTGATAAAACTGGGACAACTTGAATTTCAACTTTAAACAAGCGCTCCCAGCTTTTAGCTTCGCTTCATTGATTTTATACGTTAGAGGTCATTTTTCCGCCATGCATTAAATCGCAAAAAACTAATAGTCAGATATTTGTCCTTTTTCCCATTCGCTCGCTTCCGTAGGATCGGGTGCACTCAAACAGTGGAAAGTAAGGTCAGGGATGCTTACAGGAAAAAACATACCACGTTTTTTCCTGTTCTATTTCGAGCCAGCACATTTTCACGTTGTTTGGTCAAATGCAGCAGCCCGCTCATTTTCTTTCTCTAGACTTCATTTGTGCAGAAGACACTTTTTTTCCTTACAGGTTGACCACAATATCTCTCCTGAGCAGTCCACTAATGACCCTAGTAAATAGAACACCCTGCCAAAATTAAATTGCTTCCCATGGTCCACAAAAGTTACCGTCTCCTTAAACCATTTAGTTTTTGTTGGCTCAGGTTACTCAGGCTTCCAGCTCGAATTAGAGAAAAATTGTACCGGCGGGAACCTTTCAAAAAAGCTTAAGCTTGCCAAAGAAGGTATAAAATGTTTTTTTTTTTTTCATTTTGGGAAAACGGGGAAAAGGCGTGTTTGGTTAGTTATATACTTGATATAACTAACCAAATATAGTACCACGTTGCGTTATTATGCGTTATTAGAAATGTAGATGACACGGATCTTAACTTCTGAATAAGTATTAAAGTAATTAATTCAATTAAATTGGAGTTGCTGATAACAGGCAAATTTTATAATAGACATAAAAGAAGTCGAAAGCTATGGAAAAACGCATAATGCGTTTAAAATAAATATAAATTATTTGTGCTTTATGTATTTTAAAAACAGTTTTGATGCTCTGGTTTCCGATTTAATGTCAACTTCCTGGTCAAAAATGTGCATTATACTTTGAATTATCAGTCAGTTTAGAGCTATTATGCTGTAGAGATCGGGTGAAAAAAAGCAAGTTACTTGGGATCCTTTCAATAATGTATTTCAATGAAAATGAGATATCGTAAATAGGAAAATATATGATGTCAAATCAGCCTCCAAGATAAAAAGAATATATACAGATTTAAAGAACTATACTACGAAGTTCAGCGATTTCTAAAACAATCAAAGAATATCGAAGGCCTTGCACGGTTCAGGCTTTCGATTTGACGCTCCTAAGTTTCCATTTGTGAGCTTGCGAGGACTGAATTCGTCCTTGGATTGCGCCTAAAACAACTCCAGTGAGCGCCTGCAAATGTCGGCGGTATTTGTCGCCATTTCACGTGTTTGACTGCGTTGACGTTGGTGTTGATTGTTTGATTCGTGTTGACAAACCATGATCGCATGAATTGGAGATCCTGCAAAACTGCTGGAAGAATTGTATGAACGCAAAATTAAACTGACAAAATTGGATGTGTTATTACAGCGGAGTATAATGAATAAAATATATTTTTATATTAAACAAAAGTTGAAGGATTTAATGTCTTAATAGAAATTAAATCTAATTTCCCTAGAGATTAAATTTATTGTAATAACATGAGAGATAGCCGGTGTCTTGTAGCTCCATTCAAACTCATTAACGGTTTGGAATGGAGACCAAATGATCAAGAACTATGCACTTTAACTTTCACTCTCATTAATTTTTATTCTGAAAGATTATTCAACTAATTTTTGTTCAATTTTATGACGGAAATAAAAGAATAGTTTCACATTTAATGAAAATTCCCAAAAGTTGTCTGGTTCCATATAGTAACAGTTTAATTAACGTATAATTAGGCAAGATTTTTAAAGTTTTTAAATTCTTTACGTACAAATGATATGTTCTCTGTATGAAGTCATATAACCTGGTAGGAATACTCAAATATGTTCTGATTAAACTGAATGCTTGGTCCTTAGCATCAGAAGTTTAGTCCGTTCCGAGTAAGGTGTCAAGAATATCTATTCAATGTAATTTGATTCTGAAGAAACTTTCTGTTTACTTCACTTGTAGAATGTTTCATTGGCTAAAACTTTCATCTCAATAAAAATATTTAAACTAGTTAATTCACAAAAAAATTATCTGCAAGTTGTCATTCATGTTCAGTACCAAATTGTGATGAAATCGGAAACAATTTATAAGGAACAATTCTATTTTTGAAAATCGTCCATATGGTAGCATGTAATTCGATTGATTTGTTTTATTTTAATTTTCTTCGCCGCCTTTTGATCTTTTCACTCAATTAATCGCTAACGTTCTACGCGTCTTGCAATCATGATAAGCTAGTTTCTTTTCACTAACTTTAAATCAGTTGTATAACCTCTCCGGCTCATCGCTCTGTCGTTGTTAAGTTTGAGCCTGGAATTTTTCACGGCTTTAAACTGCATTGCTGTGCCAGGCTGAGAGAGCACTGTTACATTTGCCTAATCTGCCACCAGATGCGGTAGTTCCCATGCAAACCTTACAAAACAAGACCAATGGAGTGCTAACTCCAAGAGCTAAAGCTTCACACTTTTTTTACGAAATGCGCAGCATTTCATACATTTTTGTGAGCGCTGAGAACAGCGGTGTTATGGTCGTAACTTGTTTAGCTGAGCCCTTGCGCTGACCGAGTGATATTTTTTTATCACGGAAAATATTTGAAGTGTGTAGTTTATTCATGGAATAACATTTTATATCAGCGCAGATACTATGGATGTTTCAAACGATAGCTAGGTGGGAAATGGATGATGTGGGTACGTTGTATGCGATCGGTGTGACTTCGATATTCACTCTGTAAATAATCTTCGCGTCAAGTGCTTCCTTTATCATCATCAGTTACTCGCCAATAATTCCCAATATTGGTGCCGATTTGAGAGTGTACCTAGCTATACACACCTGGGAATTTTTACCGTGTTTATAAATGTACACCCAGTCTCGCTACTGTTGATTTTAACGCTCTTGAATTCTCTTCTAAATTTTTTATGTGTATATACATTCGTACGTTACATGCAAGCAATGGAGCAGAGTAGAGAACACCGTAGGGAAATTACACCGAGTGGGCCAGGCAGTGCTTACAGTTATCCTTAACTCTTTGAACGACCTGAATTCAGGCGTATGAATGAGTCAAGGGTTTATTAGGATGACTCGGGAATGAAAATGACGTGGTTACATGGAGTAAACATACGTCGTGTGTTCTCGATTTATGTCCATACCTGGATAATGATGCTTGGCGAAATTTAATTAGCTCATATTCCGGAACAGAATTTGTGAGCAACATGAAATTGTTAGGAATTCAATTAACAACGTAAGCAGCAATGATGCCAAAATGCAACTTCACACACTTACATCCATATAGGTGCCTGCTTGCAATTGAAGCACCGCCATCTCCATTAACGCAACCCTTACGGATGTTTTTTATAAACCACTCATTGTTCGTAAGCCTCTCATCGCATAACCTTCGCCTAATAATATCATAAACTTTGTCATATTCATGGATAAGCGATGCACTTTTTAACAAATTTATCCGGATAGTTCACCTTGACATTCGCCGGAAGCGCCGATGCAGCGCGCGTAGTGCAGTTGGTCCAGAGGTTCGTACTCATTGTTCGTAAGCCTCTTATCGCATAACCTTCGCCTTATAATATTATAAACTTTGTCATATTCATGCATAAGCGATGCACTTTCTAACAAATTTATCCGGATAGTTCACCTTGACATTCGCCGGAAGCGCCGATGCAGCGCGCGGAGTGCAGCTGGTCCCAAGGTTCGTGATGTTCGAAGACCCCAGCTTGTCCGCTGCTGCGCAGACAACAAATTGAATTTTCATACAAAGTTACAAGCAACTTTTTACGGAGAAGTTCCTCCGTTTTGTCGACGAAATCATTTTATGTTACGCGTTATTTTATCCTCGTTTCTTTTGCCCTGTCTGGCAACAGTGCTCACTAGACCGGCTGGTATTTTTTCCCTTCCGCACGTTTGTTTTTGGGTTTTGAAAAAAGCTCTCGAAATCGCATTTACCTCGGAAGCACTAAGGTCTTTTACGTTCGAGCAACGACATCCGGTTGAGTAAATACGAGTTTGTCGACGCCATGTTTTATGAAGGAAAAAAATTAAGCTCCCTGTACGCTTTATCAACGCTTTATATGAAGAAAAAATCAACGCTCCTTAATCAAAGGCTTTACAATTAATGGAAAAATATGGCTTTCTAAATTCGCCGGCACATGATGCGAGGGCAATAAATGCAATTTATTTATGCTACTATTTCACCTTTTATTATATACATATATTACAATTTCAGAAAGTTCACGATTTTTAATACCAATTTTTCACTTTTCAAAGCAATGGTTTTTTAGCACTCGTATAACTGATATTTCTTTTCACGGCTTCGCACCGATTTTTATAAAATCGCGTTAATGAATGTGATCCGAAATCTTTTATTATTTTCAATTTAAACACTCCACTTTTGATTCAAGTTGTCGCATATTCAGCTATTTTTATTTGCAGTTGCCGTACACACCAACACTTAAGCTTGCACGTATCGTACACTCCACTTTTGCTTGCAGTTGTCGTGCACTCTACTTTTGCTTGCAGTTACGGTACACTCCACTTTTGCTAGCAGTTGTCGCACACTCCACTTTTGCTTGCAGTTGTCGTACACTCCTCTTTTGCTCGTAGGTATCGTATACTCTACTTTTGCTTGCAGTTATCGTACACTCTACTTTTACTTGCAGTTTTCATACACTCTATTCTTGCTAGCAGTTGTCGTACACTCCACTTTTACTTGCAGTTGTCATACACTCCACTTTTACTTGCAGTTATCGTACACTCTATTTTTACCTACAGTTGTCGTACACTCTACTTTTGCTCGCAGTTATCGTATACTCCACTTTTGCTTGCAGTTGTCGTACACTCTATTCTTGCTTGCAGTTGTCGTACACTCCACTTTTGTTTGCAGTTGTCGTACAATCCACTTTATCTTGCAGTTGCCGTACACTCCGCTTATGCTGGCAGTTGTCGTACACTCTGCTTTTGCTTGCAGTTGTCGTACACTCCACTTATGCTGGCAGTTGTCGTATAATCCACTTTATCTTGCAGTTGTCGTACACTCTACTTTTACTTGCAGTTGTCATACACTCTATTCTTGCTTGCAGTTGTCGTACACTCCACGCAGCGCACTGGATTATGGGCTGCTGACATGTCAAGCCTCCAACGCCGTTGGCCGTCAGCGGGAACCTTGTTTCTACACTATTTTCCCGGCTGGTAAGTATTACATAATAGTTTTTACCTTTCATTATTAGGACAAAATTTTGGACGAATTTTTTGACGGTGCTCATTTTTTTGCTGCCACTTGAGTGTATTTATTCACTTGATATTTCAAATAACGATCTACATCATTCTGATAAACATCTTGAATCAAAATTGATGGCTGCTCTAACATCATAATTTTATTTGAAGTTTGTTCAAAAAGGCTGAATGAGGCTCATCAGAGGTATCGGATTCCTACTGGAAATTGTGCAATGAATAAATAATATTTCTTGACTCCCTTTACAAATGTTGGCTCAATGTTTGAATGGATATTCTGAAATAGGCGATGATGTGACGTGTTAGGGCCACCGGCTTTCGGCCGGAGCCGCGGCTTTAATTCGGCTGTAGCTTGAGCTTAGAACAAGCCGGATATGAATTAAACGGAAACGAATACAGTAGCCGGAATGTATTTGTACGTTTTGAATATTTCTCTCTCAGAATTTCTTGACTAGTGTTCTTAGTTTGCTTGAACGCTGTTGACCGAAATTGTTCACTGAACAAGTCGCAAATACCAACAGAATACATCCAGGTTGTGCGTTGCCACCATTGCAATTTTTTATTTAACCTGCTGTAATATCTGTTGTGAATCAAGGTTGTGTTCGATTCGAATATTGAGAAATGTGCAAAAACTAAACAGTTAATCTGTAATTATGCTCTCTGTTACAGTATCTTGTGTTTGAACATACTAAACCAATGGCTGAATGAAAATGATAATAGTTATCAAATAGATCGGATGCTCCGCAAAATTTAATCTTATGAACATTGCTCTAAGTTTCATTTGAAATGTTTACAGCTTCACTTGAAGTTTTTTGACTTACTTTCTACGTTTAAGTTGTAGATGAACTCAAAAACAATTTCAGTTCATCGGTCAGGTCAGAGCTGCTTAAAATGGCAAAATTTTGTCATTAAATTTCCTTTTTAGAATTTTTTTTTGTAATAATAGTGTAAATTTTACCTGTGCAGGTCCTCCGGATCCGCTACAAAACTGTACAGTTATTAACGAAAGTCTGGACTCAGTGCGCGTACAGTGCGTGCAGGGTTTCAATGGGGGACTGCCTCAGAGTTTTGTCATGGAGGTGTACGAGACTCAAGGCAATAAACTCAGGGTAAGATAATATTAAACTACTTATTCTGAAATTAATCTTGCCTTTTTCTATTCAATAGGAGAAATTTCCTATAAATAGATCATGGGCGTTAAAGATATTTGCTCGACTATAAGAACATTGAGCTTACTTGATTCTCAGGAAAAATAACTCCCAATACTTACCTACAAAACCTAAGTTTCAGGACTTCCTTTACTGCGGTTTTTGTTATTGGCCTCAAAATATTTCACTGTTTTCTCTCCATAAAATTCTGTCCAGTCTCGAATATCGAACACATTGACGAATGCTAAACACGGCATTTGCGTATCGGAAACCTCATTACTGGACGGCTGAGGAATAGCAAGCAAGGTCCTGGTAAAAATTTCTCGTGCTTCATCCCGGAAGAAAATCTCGAATTTTTCCAATAATAACTAACCATATTATGTACCCCAACTGATAGTATATAAGATATCCAGGTTATGCACTGAGATAGGTTGTACAAATAAAGAATATGCAAAGTATCATAATAATTTTATGCCAAATTTTGAAATGAAAAAAGTTTTAAAGGTTTTGCTAAAATTTAAGTTTATGTCCAGGCTCTATGAATAGCTCAGGGCTGATAAAAAGAACCTGAGATACACTTTTTGAAAGAGTGAAGTTCTGAAGTCATAGTCAGAACTTCATTCTTCATTGCTTCATGAAGGAATGGCTCTTTAATTGTACAAACTTTTGGCCTTTCAGCAGTTTCGAAAAAATACCTCATTCAAATTCAAGTTTTGACAAACGACAAACCACTTTATGGCAAAGTGTTATTATTAAGATGAAAATTGTGACTAAAATATATGAGTGACGTTCGAGTGCAATCCAGAAGTATAAATAATATTGCAATATTCTTTTAATCTGTTAGGCTCAAAGGCCATCTTAACAATATATTAAATTTTCTGTTAAAAAGACGCTAAACTAAAATGTTCTTACTTTTTAGCAACATTTTTAGGTTGGTGAAATGTATGATATTGTGCTGGGATACTTGGTGTTTTGCAGCTCAGCCTGTACGAAGAGAATTGGGCTGATATTTTTTTAGCTAGGGAAAGTCTGGCTTTTGTGCAGGCATTGGAACCAATAGCAGAGCCGTTCATTACTCCTATTATTGCCTGAGGAGTTGCCAAGCTTCTCCTTATTGATCAGTAGGCCAAAAGAATTTCTCTATACAAATGGTGAACGATGATTGCCTTGCATTATCTCCAGTGGCTCAATATCCAATAGTGAAGCGGAAAAGCCCCAAGGAAGTGCCATTGAAATGAAGCTAGAGTATCGAGAAAATGTCTTCGAAATTACTTCATAAAACAGGGCCGGCTCTGAGAATAAATTTGGCCGGTTACAATCACATTCTATTGTCTATCAGGTTTAAAAAAGCGCTAATTGCAGGTCCCTACCTTGTCTTCAGATATTCAGCTTTGTTTATGACTTTTTGTACATCTCATTGCTTATTTACTTACATGATGTTTGGAACTAAACATGGAAGCAGGTTTTAGGATTATTTAAAAATTTATAACACAATAAAGTGAAACTTGAAAGCAAATAAAATGCGCCAAAATTTCCCCATATATTTCATTTTAAAAACACTCTAAATATTCGTATCTCCATTGTTAGGGATTACAATAGGGTTCGTTAAATTTGTCATCTCCGTTTCGATTCACCACCAATGACTTCGCAAATGAATGTTTACTTGTCATTGTCATGTGATCCACCACAGAGGTTAGTGCTAGCATTGCCTATCTAGTTCATCTTCAGTGTTGATATAGTGGCGGCCTTTCTCGTGATATTGTGTATTGTTATTTATGTTGTTAACTATTTATGTGTGTTATATTCATTTGTTGAAAGGCAAGGGTTAGAAAGATAAATGGTTTACAGTTTTTTAATTTGTTTTCTTGTATTTATATTCTTTTGTAATTATAGTTTTTAGCTTATCAGTTTTTACTCATCCTTTTATTTGCGATCATTGGTCAAGTGTTCGGTGTCAGGGAATGCTCATTTATTGATTAGTCCCCAACACCTTGTAAAATCAATTCGAAAGCTTAAATGGACAAAGAAGATATTGAATCCCAATGCAGCCCCAGAAAAGTGATATAACGTCAATAAATTTGCTTATTAACTATTTATACCGGATGAAAACTGCATGCGCTGTCTAATAAAAGATTTCGTTTAGAAATATTTAGAGATTCCAAGATCCCAAGTCCGAAGTTATAAGGTATTAGCTAGAAATTTTGAATTAGATTCCGGCACTGTAATTAATTCTATTATGTGGGAATACATGCGATCTGAATGTGGTGAATGTGCATAAAGGTTTAATGGAATGTAATTCCTGCCCAAGTGCTCTGCCAATCCGATGTAGAAATAGCGTGGGGTATGTCGATTTCAAATGCGCGCAATTATATTTATCAACCATATATATATGATCAAATAAAGACCAGAATAATTATAGATCTCTACAACTGAAGCACTAAGAATTTAACGTTTTTGACCGATATACATTCAGGTTAACGTGTTATTCTAATAACACTATTGCTAACTCCACACCATGTTATCATTACTTATCCATTTTCGGTATTTATCTTAACTTATTTAGATTTATTTTCTCTAAATCAATACTGAACAGATAAAATTAATCTGACATAAACACAGGTCACTAGGTGAGATTTTCGACAGGCAGAGTAGTTGAATGTACGTTGCGAATGTCCCAGTTTTTCGTTCATGTTCGTTATTTACCGGTATTCTTTAACGCATTTTCTCATTTAGGGAAAAAAGGTGCTATTGTGCTCGCCATGCCCGTTCGTCTGTCTGTCCGCCTGTCTGTCCGTCCGTGACTTCACGTTTTCGTCGACGAGAAAATGCGCTATCTGTCACTCACTGCAGTGAGTACTGAGTTATATTTTTAGCGCATTTTCTCATACGCACTATTGTGCTCGCCATGTCCGTCTGTCTGTCTGTCTGTCCGTCTGTCTGTCCGTGACTTCACGTTTTCTTCGACGAGAAAATGCGCTCTCTGTCACTCACTGCAGTGAGTACTGAGTTATATTTCCCACCCCCCCCCCTGCAAATACCACCAAAAATCCCCCTGCAAATACCACCAAAGATCCCCCCCCAAAAGAATACCACCAAAAATCACACGATCAAAAACGCCTGCATGTGAGTAGTGGCTGCCTCGCGGATACGGAGACAGCGTGTGCGTTACGACAGCGCACTTTAATTTAATTATATTTAATTAATTTAATTTAATTTAATAATTTAGGCATGATTTCAGAAACAAGATCCAAAAGTAGAACAAGTTAACACCAGGGCAATGAGTAATACCAGCCGCTCTTCTGTTACCTCGGAAAGTCGAAAAAAAAAAACTTTAGAACTTACACATATTTCACCACGTTTTTCTTAGTTTCGCTTCGTCTCTGTCTCTATGTCATCAAAATTTCAAACCTTAATTTAAAGAACTTCTGAAAATCCTAGAAACTTGAAATTTGGCATGCATGATTATGCTGCCTAACAATTTAAGATGTCATCATCAGAAGTAATAATTTAAATTTCTTTTATTTTTTTTTAATTTAAAAAACCTAAAAATTCATGGTTGGGAATCGCGTTTTTTTGCCGCTAAATTTTACAATTGTTAAAATTGCTAAACTTAAAGGTAGAAAAAAAATATAAAAAAAACATTAAAAAAAACACGTTTTTCAGGTGGTTACAAAACTAAAAACCAAGAAATAAAATAAATAAAAACTTTTAAAAACTACGTTTTCTTAACGGACAAAAAAGAAAAACATTAACTCTTACATAACATTCTACATAACATTAATGTTATTCACGAGTTAATGTTTTTTTTGTGCGTTAAGAAAACGTGTTTTTTAAAAGTTTTTATTTGTTTTATTTCATTGTTTTTAGTTTTGTTCCCACCAGAAAAACGTGGTTTTTAAAAATGTTTTTTTTTTATATGTACTTAGTTATCCAAGTGAACAGAAATTCTAACAAAAAATAAACTTAGGAAAAAATTACCAAGTCGGAATACAAATTCAGAGTATATAGTATTAAAATGATGCAAAGTGGAAAGCTAAGATGTATTATATAGGTTTGGACCCAATTAGATTTTATGCGAAATAACCATAAGCTAAGTATGCTTGTGATAAAATCTGTAGAAATAATTTTTTTGGTTATCAGCAAACTGGATTCGAATGCTTGACTTCGCAACTTTTCAATCGACGAATAAACAAGTATTTTGAATTTCTAGCTTAATCGTGTATTGAATTGTCTTTTGTTTCAAAACCAAAAACATAGATTAGTCTCTAAAATCTACCAACAGACACGAAAAACGGGTAATTTCACAAGACGTTAAAAAGTATCCGCATAAATCTATTGTTTCTGAAAGAAGGATAATAGTGATTCAATTTTTTACATCTAACGAATTCTAGATTGGTTCTTAACAAAAGTAAGATGTCTATTTAGCATTTAATGCTCGGCGAGAATCGATCTTATATGAATAATATCGAGCCAAAAGGAATTTTAATCAATGTAAAGTTTAGAGAACAGCTAAAAGAAATGAAGGACTGAATTTATTTTTTAATAGGGATTGAATGTCGGTGGATTTTCTCAATCTTCCTTAGAGTTGCACGTGATTTACCTCTCAAAAAGTGAATAGTTGGAGAACTGCATTAAGAATCCCGTGATAAGCGAGCACAAATTTGGGCTCTTCGATCTTTTGAAATAGGCCAATCATTGACTAATCTTTTCGAGATTACCTCAGATATGGGATTTAATGGACGAATGTCGGCATCGTTAAAGGGAATTACGAGTATTTTTGGATCAATCCGATCACTGACTTGGAGTTATTGACCTATGAAACGGATTTAAAAATTTTTCGAACAGACAATCGTGAAATCTTCTTTTCATGTAGCGTATTTTCGTTTAGGAAGCAGCAGAATTTCTGTAAAAATGCACGACCATGGCATTAAATTTAATCCCTTAGTACATCCATAACTAGCGAGCTGACTACATTTTCAATGATGGCTGAACAAAATTAAAAAGTCGCTATCTATTGTTCAATCAAATGTTATTCGTAAATTATTGTTCTCCAACTTCCCCTCGGAATTTATGTAGTTTGACATATCATTAGTACATCAGATCAGAAAGAGATGCACTAAATTCTGAAATATATAAATAATCATATTTGTGAACCTAAATCAGAAGATCGATACACAGATTTTGTAATTGAATTACTTTTAAATTCGAGACTGCTCATATTTCATTTAAAGATTCAGGATTCAATTCAGAAAGAACAGAATCCAAAGAGAAGATTAGTGTGAATGTTATCTAGTTCTTATGCACTCTCAATTGTGAATGGATAAATTTGCCTCCTTGTTACCTTGTTGGCCATATGTCAATTTTTACTTCAACATCTGTTTTCCGAAATGAGTCTACTCTATTATTCATATACGAGTATAAGATATTATATAAGACTCACTCTTCGTTGATTAAAAGAAACTTAGCTGACAAATGGAGCGTTCAATTAAAAAATGTCATCTCCTGTTGAATTACTCGTCGCCTTGGTTTTGTCCTGGTAATAAATGAAACTGAAGCACAGCTTTGCTTTGACTGATGGCAGCCATGTTGGAAGTCACAAAAACGACACTTGTTCCCTTATTGGCCCATTTAGTTCAGAAGTTTGGAGGTGTGGGCGAAATTTTTTGTCGTGGCATGATTTCGTGGGTGCCTGCATATTTAAACTCATCCTTCATATGAACGATACTTAAGATTGATGTGTGTGCGAATTATGTCTGTATTTTCAGTCCGTTAAATTAAATTAATTTCTGCAATATCTATCAATATTCTTTGGACACCTGTAGTTAACGATCATTAATTTTTTGGTAAAGAGATGCAACTCGCACTTCTATAGCAGAATTTGTTTGTATTTTCCGACTATTCCCTTATTCATTTATTACTGATGTGTTTCGTTTAGCGGTAGACGAGTTTCCATCACATTGTCTTCTCTTTTCAGAACATGGAAAAATTTTATTGATGTGTTATCATTTTCATTTACTTTTCTGTTTTTATACAATTTTTATTAATGTTTTTTTAATTTTATTGATGTTTATTTTTTGTATTTCACATTTTTATTGATGTATTATGACACTTCATTGACAAGGGTCAAAAAGGTTTATACGTTACTCATTTCATAAGACGGATATTTATCATGGAATGTTATTCACATCATAAAACCGAAATTTAACAAAGTACTTTATTTATGCCGAGGTTTAACAAGGTATGTTATTTTCAGCAAAAAATCAATATTTACACAAGCTGTCCCCACCAAAAAACTTTGAATTAATGTACTTAATGTACATTTCACTATAACAGAGCAACGTGACCAGCAAAAGTCCATCGTTCGCCGTGAGTCGCCTACAGTCCGGCCTACGTCTCACCATCAAACTCTACGCAGCCAACAGCAAAGGAAAGTCGCCTGAGCGCGTGCTTATGGCGCTCACGCTCGGTGACAGCGCTGAGAAACAGACCAGTGAGTGTCTCCGTATTCACATTGAATGTACTAAATCTCATTCAATTTGTTTTTTCCTATCACTAGTCCACTGTCTTTTATATTTTTAAGTCCTTATTATTCATCTTCATCAATTCCTTAACATCAGTAGAAAACTCATTAATCTTTTCAATTGCATTTTATTTCTTCTCATAGGTCACCTTTGTCCCTTTCTTCTCTTTCGTTTTATATATTAACTTGTTCTGCTTTATCTCTAACAAAAACATCTGGAAAAGACCGAAACGCTGCTCCAAAATGAGAGCTTTTATTGCACGGTCTGCCTCATACCTGTGGCGAACCTAGCGATAAGTTTCATTTTTTTCCAATTTCGAAAATTGTATGTGGCAGACCAAAAAATCAGTTTTATATCAATGTTCATTCACTTACAAAGATCTTAAAAAAATTTGCTCGTTTTCCTGTGTTGCATAAATAAAATAATTTCATTTGTAAAGTCATGGGGAGCTCGCAATTTAAGAGTAATTCAAATTAATTTGCAATTTAAAATCTTTACTGATGGGAGCACGTGTTTTGTTCAGATGCTAAAACGCTTCGTTGTTCAGTAATTTTCAATTCCTGCCTTAACTCTAATAAAACCAGTGTACACAATCAAGGTACAAAAATATGAAAGACAATCACAAAAAAATGTCTTTTAGAAATGACGTGAATTGGTTGGTTTTATTTCTGCGCTGAATTCATTAATATATATTTTTTTAACTTTTTTTACTCAATTCTCTATGTAATTAGAACAAATGATGCAGAACATTTTGAAAAGATAATATTGCGTCGCATGTTGTAATATTTTCCAAGATAAGTGCTCGTAAATAAAGTAACTCCGTATCTATGAGCGTCATGAGGAATCATAAATACCTAAAGATTTTATTGTTTTCAGTTTCTGCATGGTTAAATTAATGGTTTTTCACTGTGCATTATTTAGTATTTAAAATTTGGATACTGAATTTCAGGCATGGCCGATGGAAAACTTGTTATTAGAAAAAGTGATCACTGTAGCATTGACACCAAATTACATTTCTTTAAAGTAATTCCAGGAACTATTCAAAAATTAGATAATCATCAATAGCAAAAAAAAAAAAACACCTAAAACGGTGCGACCGACCTAGATATGCATGACGCATCTTGTTATTTTTCATGCAAGTTGGAAAGAAGCGCGCTCGGTTTCAGTGATAGTTTGATTAAAACAAAACATCGTTCCCTCGCTCCGTTCCAAAAACTCTTTGATGTTCTCTTTGATACGCGCTAGGCTATTGTTGTTGCAGATGCAGCTGCGCTTGCGGCTGTTTGGATGTGCCCATCGTCGCATTTTGCTACGATGTTTACTGAAATGTGCTCATGTTTTTAGTGCCGTGTGCAAACCTAAATTTTCATGATGACGTCAGTTACGATGTATAGTGAAGTATTGCTTGCGGCCTCGAATTGCAGCGGAAGATGATTATCAATATGTGCGTCTGCATACTAGGTTTTAATGATATTTGTGTTTGGATAGATGTTCCGTTGGATAAAATTTGAATTTGCTGCTTAATGTGTGATTCAATTTTTTTGAAATCGTATTTTCAGATAGCATTGATCGTTATTAAACGTATTTTTAACCTAGTTTTTGAATTGTGCTTATTCCTTTTGCTCCCTGGTTTGTAATGTAAACATTTTAAATTACTACATTACTACTCTTATCTTCCGTATCCTGCACAAACAAGTGGGAAATTTTATTTTCAAAAGCTCCCCATTACTATTAACTTATTTATTTACTTCATCTCTCATTGAACCAGGTATCCTTCAAGCAAGTGAACTGCCCTCCACGATGGAGTTGTATCCTTCTCTGCCAGTCATCCTTGGTGTGATTGGCGGGATCGTGATCGTGTTTGCTGCATTTGTAGTGGTTCTGCTCGCCAAGAGGCCCGGTAGAAATAGCATTAAGAACTCCATAAACCAAGAAGACTCAAGGCTGCATATCCTGAAGAAGGACGACGGCAGCACCAGCGGTCGTCAGGATGGAGATGAAAGAGACCCGGATGTCATCCCTGAATCCCGAGGTGAGTCTAAAGGATACAGGAGGTGACAGAAAGAAGATCAAGATCTCTTTGGTGCTTGAGATCAGTGCAGGTTCATACCCTTGTGGCGTTATAATACTTTGTCGTGGCTGTTATAACGCTTCGCAATCGAACCGTCAGGCCAATAGATTGCTTGCAACATCGGCCTCTCTGCCGTCTTGTAATGCTTCCTTTTATTGCTGGCGCTGCAAAGAATACTTGAAGTCGTTCTATTTGTACTTACAATAAATAAGTGTTAATGTGCTATAATGATATGAAATTTAATATTATTTCACTCCAATCTATTTTCAATGAATAACTGGTATAAAATTTCCAGCAACACAACTGAATTTCAAAGTTTTGAAAAAAATCTGATTTAAATGGAACCTGAATTGAGTTTCATCAAAAAATTTTTATTTAAATTTTAATTTAATTTAATTTTTAATTTTTTTTAAATTTTTTTGTAAAAATAAAATAATCAACACAGGAAGCCGCGTGGACTGCAGCAGTGATCACAATCATCCACTAGTGGCGGATGTGTCAACTCTTTACGGAGAAATGATAACTCAACAAGGTAAGGTCGACTTTAAACGTAAGTTTATTCCTTTGATATACGTTTATTCCTTTGATTTACGTTTATTCCTTTGATTTACGTTTATTCCTTTGATTATTTTATTCCTTCGTCGCTAATTAAGTTAAACGTATTATTCTTTTAAAACGATTCTTACGTTATAATGTCACTAGCTTGCTTGAAGCGCAGATTCACTAGAAATTTAAAAGCGAAGAAAAATCCACAAAAATTCAGCATTTCTGAATTTTTGCTGAAATGCTGAATTTTTGTGGAGTTTTCTTCGCTTTTAAATTTCTAGATTCTTACGTTGTTATATAGATTTTGACATTGGTTAGTTTTATTTCTAAGCTGTAGAACAACAGACAAAGTTATAGATTGTGAATATGATGATAGGTTACTGAATTATTGGGTGGTATTTAAAATTGTTTTCACCTCATTCGTCCAGTTACTGGTGATATTTTATGAAAGGGAATTATGAGTTATTCGTTACTTTAAGATGTGAATGTACACGTATTTTACTCAGATGCGTGCTGAGGGATATCTTTTAGAACAAAAATTATTTCAAATTTACGAAAGTTCTATTGGCCTGAAATTGGCGTTCCTACCCAAAAGACTTTAATCTCACTCAACAGTCACATGTGACCTTCATATATTACTAACGAAATAATCATGTTTTTACTTGGATTTGTGAACTGTTATTATAGAAATTTAGGTGTCATTTGCGAAGATATAAAAGTTTAAATGCTCTAAATTATTATTTGATGAGGTATAAAGTTTATTTACGAATTAATTCTAATTTCAGGCATACGTTAACCTCAATCAATACATCAATCTCTCTCAATTAAATAAATATTGTTTACAGGTTCAGCATCTAACGCCATTCATTCGACGAATAACGACAGTGGCTCATTAATGCCAGCAACCAACGCCCATATACACAACGATCCCTCGAACAGCAACAGCCACAACCAGCCTCCACAACAGCAGGAGTTGCAACACATACTTCAACCTAGTCCAGTGCAGCTACCCAACAACGTACTTGCCCCTCAACCTATGCTAAGTAACCAGGCTCAACAGCTGCAGCAGCAAATGCACCAGCAACAGCAGCAGCAAATGCACCAGCAACAGCAGCAGCAAATGCATCAGCAACAGCAGCAGCAAATGCATCAACAACAGCAGCAACAGCAACAGCAGCAAATGATCGTCAACGTTCAACATGTGAATGATGCTCTTCAACCTCTGCAACAGCAGCCACCGCAACACGTCCATCTCGCAATGTCCGTCCACTCACCGAGCTCTCCTTGCTCCCCTCAAGTCGTTGTCAGTCCACGAATAATTATGAGTCCGTCTCCGATGCTACCCTCCGTTCAGCAGCCGACTTCACTGCCATCTCATTTCAATGGTTCTTTCCAGACTCAAAACTGCGTTAATCCCAGCACGTTTTTCCACCAAGGTCACGCCAACAACCGACTTCAACACACACAAAGTCTTCAGCACAACAGGCCGGTAGCTCAAGACCATGATGCAGATAATAGACTTCATCATCAACAGTCTCTACCAGAGAGAAGTTACTTCTCGCCTAACGCCAACAATTATGCCAACGCTCATTTCATGGACAAAAACAAAAGTTTAAGTGTCCAGACGAAGGTGTCTTCTCCTCAAAACCATGTCAACAACATTAGACTAGAAGACGCTGGACATGGTCCGAACTTCATGCAACAGCAAGAGCAACAATCTCCCCAACTGATACAACAATATCAGCAACAGCATCAACATCAGGGGCAGATTGCTCAAAAGCACCTGAAAAACCATCGCAACATTCGCCAGGATCAGGAACAACAGGGTTCTCAGCACCACCATCACAAGCATCACAAACAGCACCATCATCATCACCACAACAATCACAACAATAATAATCTGCAGCAGCAACAGGATGGAAAAATTTGTTCAGCTCGAAATGAGCACTCAGGAAGCCGAGGAAATCTTCTGTCCAGCTTGGGCCCAGGCAGCACACAGACTCTACCACACCCTCGCTCCCAGCACAAGGCTCTGAACGCCTCTTCTGTCAACACTGCAACACTGGGTCGCAGAGCCAGCCTATTTATTGTGAGTTACTCAACTCTTGCATCATTATTCAGGAAATTTAATGTTATTTTTATTCCTTGTAGAGATAATAAAAGTGCGGTCAATGCAGCACGGCACTGAGAATCTCTCTGTATCTTAAACGGTGTGTTAACTGTACCAAAATTTATCAACAAATTTCTGAACAAATTCAGGTATCTAAATAATTAAAATGAATTTCACGAAATTACATTTTGCAGGACCCACTGACGACTCCGATCGCCCCTCCTCCCTCCTACGCCACTCCTCCAGCATCTCTGGTGGATTCAGGTGATGGCACCATCGTCGTGGCAGAGACAGTCTGCATCACCCCAAACTACGGACACTCCAACCCGTGTCCTCCGCAGGACGCGTTCTCTTCGACCTCGAAACCGTTCCCAAGTTCCTTCAGCTCTGATAGAATTGAATCTTCTGTGTAAGTTTCAGATCTTGAAACGTAGAATGCAGGCGATCTCAGATTATATTTTAATTTGTGAAAGGTTTTGAGCTTCGCAGCATGTAAACTGTAGCGAATGATCGGTCCCTTTCTTTTAATAATAATAAGACAGAATAAGTGACAGAAGATTAGATATTTTTTCGATCCCTTTGACGGACGGACATGAAGGTACGTATAAATTCGAACTCCTCATCCTCGTGCAAGAAAGTATATTATAATTGACATTAATAAAAAATTAAACATGCAATTGTGAGCTGGAATTGTGTTATTTTGACATGTTTCAATATCATCAAGATACAAATATTAATTGAAGAGATATTACTCCTCTCTTACTTTGAAAACGCTGAGCGTCAATTATTGTATAATTAAGGGCGACAATTTTTATGAATGTTCATGGTCTACTTCTCAAGCTGGGTAGCGGACGATGAAAGAGATATTCAAATGATCTGATATATATAAAAAATCTGACGAATAGAATTTTTGGAATCTGGAACATTTTCTTATCTCCCTCAGCTGAGGTCACAAGGAATAATTTGCGTTATAATTAGAACTGTATGAACTCAGAGAGCCGGAAATGTTCCGTAATTTTTTCACTTACGATAAGATTAATTTTTCTCATTTGAAGAAAAAGTCCCATTCATGCTTCGTTGAACAGGAAAACAGAAAAATATTATTAAATAATCAATTGATCAAGTAATAGAAAAGTTGTGCCGCAATTGGACATCAGCTAATTATTCAGTAATATCCGAAATCGTTGCAAACAATTTTTGAAAATAAGCTCTGGTGAAGGATTCTTGAAGATTATTGTAAACATCGTAATTAATGCCATTTGTCAGTTAATTAAAAAATCTATTAAGATTTTTGCCGGTCTGGGCGCCTTATATGAAATTTTGCGAATAAACGACCAGGTCAAAATTAAGTTGGAATGATATCTGTGTTTTCTGATATTATTTTACATAACGAAAGTTTCGTCAAATTGTTTTCTCTATACGTTTCCACCATTCAAAACTGATATTGATATTACATCTGATTTTAAAATTATAAGAATGTCAATAGTTTTCTATTTACAAAGGAATATTGATGAAAAATGTTTAAACTTTTCTTAATTTGGTGTGAATCCATTTAATTAATTTCAAATTTCTTTCTCTAAACTTTGATGCCCACCCAAAAATGACGTACGTTCGCTTTATTCTATCTATATATTTAAAAAATTCTAATTAGAATTAATTGAAAAACAGGTTTATATAATTTCATTAATTATTGTTGACCTTATTTTCAGTTGATAATTAGGTCGAATCAATGTTGTATTAAAATTCCTCATTCAAAAGAAGGAAATGGATAGGATTTTTCATAGTTTAGAATTAAAATAGGGGATTGCATTAATAACAATGGTTGTAATAAATTGCTCACGTGGAAACTGGTAATTCTCAAGTATTGCGAATGGTGCAAATGCTTTCTAGGAGAAAGACGTAGTTTTCTAGGCTACTGTTAGGTGTTGATAGTTGATTAAGAGCTTCTAGCTAATATGGTTTGTTGAACGGCATAAGATATCGCTACATTTTTCTCAATAAATTGTTGACTGATACTAAAAAGGTCATTATTGAATCTTTGGGAAATGCTGTGATTACTTAATCAAATAAAATTTTTCGTCACGGAAATTTCTCATAGTGATTTCACAAACTTCGTGTTTTTTCTTTATTTATGATCGTTCATCCATTTATTCAACAATAACGGTATTATTAAAAAAAGTATTGTAGTTGTGACGATAAGGTAATTTGCAATGAAATTGATTGTAAAACCCTGGGTATTCTGTAATCTACTGAGGATTATATTATAGTGGTGCTACAGTGTGAGAGTCGACAGCCCCATTAACTATATAGACTTTAATTCGTAATTTTAAGGTGTACGAAATGTGTGAATAGAATACTTAGTTTTAACTTTGCTCACATGTGTAAAGTTGCATTTGGATTTTGTAAAGCAACGAGTATACTCGAGAGAAACAGGGGTAGTAAACTTTAGGCTGTAGATAAAGAACTGAATACTTTGTACATTATTTGGTACAAAGTATATTAGCTCATGTACATTAGGTCTGGTGATTTACTATGATGTGTATATCCACGATACTTTTATACATACTTTAAGGAAACTGTAGCATTCGAATCCATCTTTACGCATTGTAATCAAATGTACATAAATATTTAATTTTAACTGTCGTTGTGCCAATACAAAATCAGAATAATATATCAGAATAATATAAACGATTCTTCGGGTTGCTTGCCTTAGCAATTGCGTTCACCTTCTTCTTGAAATCTACCGATCTTTTTGTCTTTTCCAGCAAAATATTTTCATCTAATTGTAAAAATCTCAAAATAGTCGAGAAGTCATAGAGAAATTTAACTATTGCCGATCTCAAAGTCGGTCAAATTCCAAATAGCATCTTAAAATTCTAACTCTGTCATTTCTCACAGCAACAATAAATAATCTTATATTCGATGAATAGATACTTAAAATTTGCATAGTTATCTTCTTTAAATTTTTTGACTTATGTGAATGAGTTACTAACTAAAACTTGCATTATCGACAATAATTTTGCTTTCTTATTATGAATAATTTCGATTGAATATGCATTGCATTTGCTGATTGCAATAAAATTTCAAGCAATTAATATAATATTCTATAAATAATTCTGAATATTCTGTCAGTTTCTTGCTACCTTTATCAACCTGAATATTTACTGCACTTTTAATTGTACGACTTTTTGTCCTAAATGAGTACTTCTTCAATTGAAACATCTCCTAAATGACATTAAAATTTGGTTCTAAATTGTCGTGGAAATTAATTGAGCATACAATACGACCCATATATACAAATTTTGTTTAAAACATTTATATCTGATGGTTATATTTTCCAAGAAATTTGAATATGTTGCATATCTTGGAAGTTATTTGATAACCAATCGTGAGTCTCCATGCAATGAGCTGCAAGAATTTGCATGGTTCTGTATTTTATTATGCGTACAGTTTAGCATCAGACATAATCACCCATCGAATTTTTCACCATTTCTTTCCATTGGCCCTTAGACTTTTTCAGGTAATAACAAATTCAAGTCCAACTCTAGCATATGGCCTTCATCCCAGTTAAGCAGTGAAAGCTAAATAAATTAGTAATTGCGTCAATGCCGGATTCGATCTAACTAGCTAGAATATTTTAATGCTATTTAAATATATGTATATTTGACATATTTTTTCAATATTTGGCCCGCAGAATATCTTCTTCATACTTTTGATCCGATTCAAAAACGCTCAATCCATCCCAACTGAAAAAAAACATGAAACATCAAAGATTTGTATGAAAAAACGGAATCTTTTCATACAAGGGACTATTAGCCCTAATTTTTTACGCTAATAATGCTAACAACGTTTTTTAACCCGAAATATTTAAAAAAAAATTTTTATAATAATTTCTTACAATTCCACATTTCTTTCAACTTAAACGTTGATTCAAATTAAAAAAAAAAACGCTTATCATAATATAAATGTGTTGCGCAAACCAAAATTAATGAATAAATTTTATTTCATGCGTTATAAATTAAATATTTACTAGCGGAAATATTTTTTACATGGATAGAATTATCAGTTGTTTTGAAATTGATCCATCAATAACTGTTATTTCATTTCGTAACCAATCCATAGTTTGAGAATTAACAAAAAATTTCTAGTATGTATGAAGCTGATGAGATTGAGAAAGTTCCTTGATTTGCTCGATATATTAGGGTAACATAAATGGAAACGATGTATAAATTATTCTTCGCACACCTCCTAGATGCTCAATTCTTTGCATAACTGCAACTATAGTTAATTGTTTGTTGCTATTTTCGAGGAGGGGGTATCCCGTACCATATTGTAACGGTTACGAAACGTTGTCATTGAGGTAAGTTGTTGTAATTGTGAACT